CGTTACTAGGAACAAAGGGCATCGCTACTAGGAGCAAGGAAGCTACTAGCGGCTCCTGGCCTTACTACTAGGAGCAAGGACGCTACTAGGAGCAAAGGGCATCTCCGCTCGCTGGCTGAGAGCGCACACCGTGGACCGCAAGTGCGCGTGAAACTCGTTGGCCTTTGCTTGAGACTGCTTGCAAAAAGTGCTACTGTGCCGCTTCTGTCTCTAGTCAAGGCTATGCTGCCGACTTGCTCTACCTCAACAACTGCGAGGTTGGACTTGGAAGGTCAGTTCTATTCTTTGTCTAGGAGCAAGGACTCTACTAGGGGCTCCTGGCCCTACTAGGAACAAGAAGCTACTAGGGGCTCCTGGCATCGCTAATAGGAGCAAGGACGTTACTAGGGGCAAAGCATGTCATGTGCGTCAATTCAGACGCGGGGCCTCAAGAGTGCGCGGGTTCTAGCTCGTTCTGTTGAAGTGCCAGTCAACTGCACGCCCTGCAAGCCCTGCAACCAAGAGTTTAGGTGCTCCGCGAGTACCACAAATGCTCCCGCCCCTTGGAGATGAGAGGAGAGCAGTTGGGTCAAGGATGGACAAGTCTCCAAAGGGCGTGAAGCCTTTAGGTTGGAGGCCATCGCTCTTATGTTGGAGGCCATTGCTATTAGGTTCCTTGAAGTCTTAAAGTATTTGTTCTATACTTTTCGGTTGGAGGCCATTGCTAGTAGGTTGGAGGTGTGAAGCCCACAGAAGGACGTCCTGCTTGGCTCGTTATGGCTCGTTGCCGGTGTTGAACATTGGGAGTGACTGGCCGACACAGCTAAACATAAAACCCCTGCGAGCAACGGTTGGGCATTGCCAGCAAAGAGGGAATGTTTCTTCAGAGGAGGTTGGCTATATAGTTCTTCATTCGACGCTTTGAAGAAGCTCAGGTTTGTTCCAAGACTGGCCCCATATAATCTTTAGCCATATTGTGGCTGCACCCAAACACCACTCTGTATTCGCAATGCAGCTTTGGTAGGCTTAGATCCGCGACAGAAATTTGGCGTTGACGTCATTGGCAAGTTATGGTAGCATAAGTAACCGGCAGCAAATAGCGGGCTTTTGTTCGTTCTTGTCATGCCAAGTCAAGAATATGTGTTTTCCTTTTTCAAAATACAAACTTGGGCGCAATTAGGTTGGAGGCCGTTGCTACTAGGAACAAGGACGCTACTAGGGGCTCCTGGCATCGCTACTAGGAGTAAGGACGCTACTAGGGGCTCCTGGCCTTACTACTACGTACTAGGTTGGAAGCCATCTCTCAGGTTGTTGGAGGCCTTAGATTGTTTTGTTCTGCCTTTCCTTTGCCCCAGCCATCTGCAGCGACGTTTGGCGGCGAGCAGCCTCCCGCCCATGCAGCGGATGCGGCGTAGCACGGGCACCAGCAAGCCACTGGAGTTGCCAGGTGAAGTAGTCGCCGAAAGTGCCAATGATTCTGAGTAACCTGATATAGTTACAATGAATATGTCACTTTATCCCTAAGCCTAAAGAGTCAGTGGCTCGCTCAAGAACATTTGGGCCCGAGCCCCGGCGGATGTCTCTTGGCTTCGCGCTGGATCTTGTTCGCGAGATCCGCTGGGCTTGGCCTACCTCGGGCTGCTCTGCGGGAGTGGGCTTTCCTCTCGCCTTGTTGCTGGCCCTGCTTGGCTTCCTTTGTGGCTGTTGCTGCGGTGGCCTTGCGGTGCTGGCGCTCGTGTCAAGCTCCTTTCGCAGAGCTTTGTGTTGGATTGGAGCAACCTGCGCCTCGGCTTTAGTGGTTGATCCTCCTGTCCCGCCGGACGCTCTGAGGCGAAGATTTGCTCAGTATAGGCCCTTGCATGAGGGCTGACCGGGAGGTTGAAGAGCTCTCAGTCCAGCTAGGTGACCTTAGAATCCAAGTCTCGAGGACGGACTCAGGTTATCGATCCAGTGCTTCACATCATCCAGGTTCCCCTCCTTCAGGTGCAATTGCTCGCCCCGAAGGGGCGCCTGCGGCTTCAGGCCCTGAAACCTCAGCTCCGTCAGAGACTGAGTCTTGGGTTGCTGTTGACGCCGAGCCAGCTCGTCCTCTTCCTTGGACAGAAGAGTGGGAGGAGTTGTTGACTCGAGCTGTGACGCCTTCGAGTGTCTTGGCCCTTGATCTTAGCCCTGTAGAGCACCTCTTGCCCAGGATCAGGACGACTAGCAACAACTGGTCACCTTTGGCTCGCCTTGGACGAGCCCTACGAGCAGGTGTCCAAGCTCGAGCGAGGATTGAAACTGGACGGTGGCCGCGTGGTAGCCCTTCTGCTGTCACTTTGCCCACCAAGATCTACATCATCCTCCGTCCCGCTCCAACCGGTTCTTCAGGCTGGACGGACGACTATTTGACCTATCGAGATCAAGTGCAAGGCCGCGGAGGCGACCTGCACGGCGACTCCGTGAGCCACGCTTTCGCATCCAGGGCGGAAGCTGAAGCCTACATCATTGGTGCCCAGTCAGCATGGCCTCCCATGCTGCCCCGGCGCCGCTAGACGAGGCTTACCTCCGGGGTCTGTGGGAGTCTCTCTTGCCTACAGGCCCCTTGCCAGGGGTGTTTTTGCTGATGCCCCAGAGAGAGAGTGGACACAGCGACCGCGCCTTTTGCTACCTGGTCAAGATCCGCTCCGGTGGCTTCATGATCGCAGCTCCCGATGTTGCAGAGGTTGGGCGATTCCTGGAAGAGCAACAGGGTGCCGATGGTCAGGAGCTCTGCGCCATCTACCAGACAGAAGCCTTGATGGAAACAAACAGAGGCCGTGCGTTGGGCGAGGGGGCTTTGTTGCTGGTCGATCTGCCATGGGAGTTGTCACGCCTGTTCATCAAAGTTCATTCCCTTCGGAACCCTGCATCCTACGATATTCTGAGGTTCACTGTGGGAGACCAACCATGTCGTCCAAGAAGATCTGCGCTCATCGGTGCTTCAGATCATTGGGTGCACGAAGTCATGGACGACGACACTGCAGGGGACTATGTGACTGGCGACTCCGAAGGCCTGGAGCCAGGATGGGAGCAAACAGAAGCAGTCGATCTTGGAGAGGCGCCTTCGGACGAGCTTGGCATCTTGCGCCAGAGGGTTCAGGAGCTGGAGACTCAGCTCCAACAACATGTGCGTCCTCCTTCATCTCGGGCTTTGGAGACCGTGCCAAAAGCATCACCTGCTCGACCTACAGGTCGAGGTGTCCTTTTCGACGGACCTCCCACTCATGCAGGTCCTTCGGACGTGGCCTCCACCTTGGCAAAGCTGCAGGGGTTGGCAGGCTCTGCGCCTATGAGGTTAGGAGCGCACGAAAGGCAGAGGGCTGCTTCTCAGAGCCATCCAGGAATGGAGGCCCTCCAGCAAGAAGCCGGCCTAGAGGCCATAGAGGAGGCCGAAGTAGAAGATGGCCTGCAGCAGCTGGAAGGGGCTCTCACGGATCCCATGCAGAAGCTCATGTACTTGCAGATGCGCCAGATGGCGATGCTCTCAAAGCAGCAGGCTCAACTCACCCAGTCCAAAGACCCCATCAGTGCAGCTTTGAGTGGGGGGTCAGAGTCGCAAAGCACGGGCAACGCTGGGATAAAAGGCTGCATGGCTCGAGAAGCTTATGTGAAGCTGCTCACGGATGCGAGAAAGGTGGCTACTGTGGTCGCGGAAAATGCGGCTACAGAGTTGGGCCTGGAAGTGACCAGCATAGGTCCGGGCCTCATGCGGGACTATGTCGAGAAGAGATCACCGCTGGGCGAAAACCGTGCCTTGATTCAGCAGGCCTACATGTGGGCCTGGGCCTGGGAAACCGGGTTCCGGTCTGGCAATGTGGAACTCATGGCAGTAGCGTCACGAGGGCTGGTCTATGTGGACCAGACGGCCATGGACATGAATCGAACAAAGCTGAGCTGGCTACTCACGGGCCTGCCAGAACCACAGTATTCGATCTGCCAGAAAAACAAGCAGGCCAACACACTGAGTCCGTTCAGCCGACTTGCAGCTCCCAGCTGGGTAGGAGCCAATGTGGCTTTCTTGAAAGACCTGGATTTTCTGGAGGGAAAGATCAAAGCTGCAGCAGGGCCAAAGCCTCAGACCAACGTGGACCAAGGGTCAGAAGATGCCGCCCCAAGAAAGCCCTGGAGGCCGAAGAAGAAGAAAGCAGCTGGCGGCAATGCCAGCAGCGACTCCACGGCAAACTAGAGGTGAAAAGGGAAGCTCCACCGGAGCTCGGTCGACCTGCTTCCTTGCTGCCCTCTTCTTCGTCTGAACGGAGGCCTTGGACGCCTACCGTTTCTTGCGGTCGGGAAGCGGGTCGACTGAGTAAGCCCGGTATTTTCACAGGAACCCCTTCGGCATCTGGTGAGGCTTGGGGACAGTCCCAATGTTCTGAAGACCGAACGGAGGATGCTGGGATCCCTTTCAAAGCATCAATCTCTGGCGAGGTCTTCCCTTTGCCAATTAGTTGCCATGAACTCGTGGGGGCCACACTGAGTTCGATCGGGGCTGGCACAGATTTGTCCCGGTTTATCAGATTGAGCCTCTCACCACTCCGCGATGCTTCGCTTCCGGCACTCTCCCGGAGGTCAGACCTATGGCCCTGTCCCCCTCCTCGTTGGGGTCGATGGACGGGCACCTCTTCGACATTATCACCAAAGAGGCGGCGTCGGCTACGCCACCTAAAAGTCCGAGCTCTGTGTACACAGCATCTGATTCTGGCCTTGAACTGGTTAGCGTTGGGGCAGTGCAGCACACCTCCTGACTACGCCAGGGCTGGGTATCCATACACACCCGGCCAACTGGAGTTGATGGAGAGGCTTGAAGACTTAGTTGACTACTACCTGGGGGTCGGCGAGATCACCTTGGACTCCCTAGGTAGGGCTGGCGAAAAGTTGAAGAAATTAAGTGCAATTGCTTTTTCGTTACCTGGTGTTTCTGAAGCGTTCGATTTTGATGACATCAGCAGTTTTTTAAGTAATATTCAGAAGTCCTTTAATTCGTATTCACGAACTCGAAACAGACATGAACGAAGCTCTAGTAGTCAGCAAGCTTCCGGCCCGACTGGGAGAGACCTTGGTGCTCCTTGCCCTCGTGACCCCACTTTGAAAGTGCCCTCGAACGCTTGCTCGGCTAAGCCCGTTGTGGCTTCTCGAATCAAGTGGAAACTCAAGCCCAGCTTCGACCCAAGGCCCTATCTTAGTGATCCGGTGGTCAGGCAAGCGTTTGAGGACCCAGATTTTTTGAGGAAACCGCCTACAGACTGGCCTCGACTTCCTAAAGCAAAAGTTCACGCTTCGAGAGCAGAGGTGTTGGCACTTGCAGAGAAGTGGGATCAGTTAGGAGCATGTCGGTTGGTACAATGCAGTTCGGTTCCTGATATTGAAGCAGTTGGAATGTTTGCTGTTCCGAAAGATGAGCAGTACGACAGGTTGATCCTCAACCCCACGGTTGTGAATTCAAGGTCATTTGCGTATTCAAACTTCACAAGGACTATTGCACCTGGTTACCTCATCTCGATGATTTCACTTGCCCCCCGGGAACAATTGATGATTTC